TTGACAAAGATTTCAGCCTTGCGCACACAACTAATTTTATTCTCAATTGAGTAGTCCATTAAAGTCTATTTTATCATTAGCACAATGATACACATACATCTTCCAAGCACTTACATCTCTGGATAAATTTTACGCTCAGACGTTCTGATGCAGCCACATGCCTAATATATTAACTGTACTGGGAAAATCATCTCTCTGCAACCAACTACCAAAACCCTTCTGTTATCAGTATCACAGTACTAAACCCGTTCTGATATTTGTTTGAATATCATGAATGTTATTAGTTTAGGTACATCAGTAGCACAGTTCAAACAGCAGCTGCTGGACTGATAAAAAAGTCACACTCCTGATGCAAATTTCTAAGGTTGAGTTAAGCAGATTTAGTGCCTTGACAGTGATGAAGGAATGCCTATACTCTTCCCTGCCTTCCCTAGCAATCTTGCCACTCCTCTGTGATAGATGCGGTGCTCATCTAGTGAGTCACAAGCCAGATCATCTCACTAACCCAGCAGAAAATTATTTTTCTTTTTTTTTTTGTGTGTGTTAGTGTTCTACTGGTTTACCAAACTCAATCAGGCTGTTGCATGGTCAATGCTGGAACTGGTCAAAGTCGGGGAGAAGCAGCAGCAGCAGCAAAACATCGTGCTCACTCACCTTATATTGTGCAGCTTCACCTAACTGCCATAGATTCAGCAACATAAAATAGACGTAGCACTGTGTGCACTAACGCTCCTGATTCCAAATACATGCCTAATTTTAAAGACATTAATAGGACTACTGCCTCGTCTGGGCACACTGAAGTCAATGAGACTAATCACATCGATGGCTTTCTACACAAGGGTGTTTGATACAACATAACCTTCTAGCAGAAACAAGCACTATGTCTCGTAAGGGGGTAAGGAGATGCAGAAAAATCATTATACCTGAGTTAACAAAACCTTTAGAGTAGAAGTACTGGCAATTCCAAGATTGGACTCTCATCCATTTAAGGGATGCTTTTAGTATGGTGGCACAAATCGCCGATGAAGTTATTTCAAGACATTAAAGACAGCATCCACTGTTATATCTGTAAATATATACGGGACTGTTGTACCTGTAAAGTCTTCCCAGTGGTATAGTGGCAAACTTAAGCTATGCGCCAGCTGAGTAAAACAAATTCACGCAAACAAAATGTTTTATAGCTTTTAAAGTCATGTTCTTTCAGCTGCAGCCACACCTAGCCTAGGGAGTCTACCAGAAGATGTACATCAATCAGCAGTGTAATTTCTTCAGTACCCCGGCCCCTTGTAGAAATGTGTCATTACTACATAAATTAAGTTGCTCTATTTAGTGGATGCAGCATACCTTTATTTAAGGTAGCGTCACTCACAGAAACTGAAGCCTTCAACAGTTTACAGGGTTTGCGTGGCCACACCTTCAGTTGCATTTAATTTTCTAAAGCATTACCTCATGAAAACTGTTGTGGCAACCAGAACTAGACGAAAGAGTGAGCAGTTCACATAACCTAGCTTCTCCGTGCAGACGGTCTGACAGCACATTTTGAGCTCAGATGCAACACAACAAACAAGCGTCCGACAGCCTACAGCTCCACATACGTTTGTCCCACAAGTACAACGTTTTTGGTTGCCATAGACTCTTGAATGAGTTTTCAAGCCCAAACATTCCATGTGAAATAGTTTAAGATGGCAAAATACAGAACTGACCGGTCAAGTTGTAAATTTTCAACTGCGAGGCACTGGATTGTTCATCTACACAATTAAGCTATTTGACACATAAACGTCTATAAAGCACATACATACACAGTGTGCCAGGAAACTTGGTTGTTGAAATACAGCTTCCATCCAGAGACAAAAAGAGATAAACTCTTCCAGAAAAACCACATCAACAGGAGGCATTATATCACAGAGAGGAAAAAAAAAGAAAAAGCCCCAATCATACTAGTATAAAAACCTTTATGCCAACAACAGCCCAAATGAATGGCACCAATGAGGTCAGAAAACGCTCGGGGCAGATGTTACCCAGGGATGTAAGAAGCACTTTCAGCCGACGGGCGCCGAGCGATCCCAGTCCCCTTCCCGCAGCCTGGCCGGCCCCATCCCGGGGCAGGAAGCACAAGCAGAGCCTACATTTAAACTTTAAAAGCGCCGGCAGTCGCCTGACCCGGAACAACGGGGCGGCTTCGGAGGACAGCGGGTCCCGGCCGAGCCCTGCCCGGCCCGGGGAGGCGGACAGCGAACCGGAGCTTCACCCAAAAACCCGGTTTCGGCTGTTTTCCCATACAAGGCGAAAAGACAACAGTGAAACCAGAGCTCCGCTACCCTCTCCCTTCCCCCGCCGCCCCCTCAGACAACAAGCCGTAGAAAACAAATTAAAAGTAGAAGGAGAAAGAGACTTAACGGATGAGCCGGGTACAGCGGAGGACGTCGGAGCCCGGCGGCGCCAGCAGAGGCCGAGCCAAGTGACAGCCGGCAGCGCCGCCCGGCCGGGCCCGCCGAGCCCCCGCCACCGGCCCAACCCGGCCCCCGCCGGCGGCCCCGCCCCAGCTCCACCTCGTTCGGCGCCCCGTCCCCTTGCGGGAGAGCAGCCGCCAGCGGCGCCGGGCCGAGCGCGGCCTGGGGCGGCGGCGGCACAGGCTGCTCCCCGGCGCGGGGCAGGGCGGGAGCGACCGGCCAAGTCTCGCGAGAACCGGGCCCGCCGCCCGACCTTCCCAACATGGCGGCGCCCCGCCGCTCCCCCTCCCCGCTGTCCGCGCCTCATCCCCGGCGGCGGCCATGTTGGGTGCGGCGCGGCCTCCCTGCCCCAGCGCCTCAGCGGTCCCGCGCGCTTCTCCCCTCAGGGGCGCCTCCGCCAGCCGCGGCCCCGCAGCCCGCCTACCTTGCTGAAGCCGGGACCGGGCTGAGGTGAGGAGCGGAGCCCGGCGCGCCACAGGTACAGCCCGGGCGGCGGGAAGGGCTGAGGGCGGCGCCGGTCGAGCGCAGCTTTCATGGTGCCCGGGAAGCCCACGCAACGGCGCGCCTGGCTTTGGGCGAGGCGGCCGGCGGCGGCTCCCGGCCTCAGGGCTGGGGCCAGGGCCTCCCGCCGGGCCTGCTGTTACCCCACAGGGCGGGGAGGTTCGAGTCTTCAGGCTCCTCTGGGCACCAGAACCTCCCTCTGCCTCAGAAAAAAACAATCTTTTTCCAATATTTTCCTCACAGTTTTCTCCCCCCCCCCCCCCCCCCCCCCCCCCCCCCCGTGTTGTGCAGGCTTGACTTGTCGGGTCAGTTCACATGCAAATGGTGTAAAAATGAAGAGCTGTGGCAGAGCTCTGGGTTTTGATGCAAGAACAGGACTTCGCAATGTTTATTAAAGCGCGGCCGCAGAGCGGTGCCAGCGCTGATGCTGGCATTCCTGAAAGCAGCTCCAGTCGAAACTAGGGCACCACTTTTTAGTCATTTGTATTCATAGCTAAGTCACCTTTATAAAAATAATTGAATTTTTTTTTTTTTTCCCAAAATGAAAGTTGCCAGTTGCCAAATTTAAGTTTAAATAAACAACATTTGCAAAACTCCAGAGAGATGACTGAGTACCAACCAGCTTATTTTCCCTTTTAACAGTCATTATAGACCTGGAAGAGTTAGTATATTATCCTCTGTTGCATAGATTCCACCCCAAAGATGCATTAAAACCACCCACGTTTCAAAAATATGTCTAAGATATTATCCAGCTATAACAAAATCATTTCCACTGAAGAAGGAAACTTATTAGAATAGGAAAAAAGAAATCCTTCCTGCAGTTATTTTGGGAATGTCTCCTTCAGGGCTTGTCTACAGCATCACCAGAGTCTGGTTTTCAGTCATTAGTATGATTGTTTGACTACAGATGCCAAATTTCTTGGGGGAGCACGGGGGCGGAGAGATGCCTACCCCAACCACTAAAGATTCAGTAAAACTACCGTGGCTTCCCCCCCCACACCCCCTTTTTTTTTTCCTTAACCAAAAAGGATTAAACTATTTTTACATAGCCCCTCCTTTTCTGAGTGGTCAACATATTGCATATAAATTGTTCCAATATGGGAACACCATTCAAAACCACCCTAAACACTGAGAGACCATTACAGCTGGGAAGCTTAGGCAACACAGAACTTAATCATGTCACAATTACAGGATACCCATTTAACCTTGATTTGGCTCTTTTACATACACAAACTAATTACAGAGTATATTTTCCAGTGTAAGCATACCTCCTTTGAAACAAGAGGTAAGCTTGATATGTTGGTGGTTAAACCTTTGAAAACTATTTTGTTTTGTCAGGTAAGGGGGAAAAAAAAACCCCATGAACACCGAAAGATGAGCACAGCTCCAATGGGAAAAAGTGGTAAGTAGTGCCTCATTCCCTCTTGAGTCGTCAGCAAACCTGCTCCTCCCAAATGCAGAATACTGCAAGTAATAATAATAATGACAAATTCAGTCAATGAAAACAATATTACTACAGTGTATGGGATCCCTGATCACAGACTAGGGCAAATTAAATTATTGCATTCCCCGTCATCACCTAGTGTTTGCTTAAATTTACTGCTTAATATTGCTGGATTGGCAGCCTATTTAAATTGTTCAGCACTTTTGTAATGCACTACCTCTTTAATTATGCTTTTAAACATAGTTTCTCTTTTCTGCTTGGAAGCAGTTAATCTAGTTTCATGCTCCTCCTTTTCATCTTCAGGCAAAGGAGGCATCACATTAGGATTTTCTCAAACATGAACATCATTTGTTTTCAGTCAGTCAAATAAAATTAAAAGGCAAAGTTTGTCTACTGTTTTTGCTTCTACATGCCTTTATTTATTCTCTGTATCTGTCAGTGGAACTTAATTGTGAAACTTTAGATTACTTTTTCAAAGACTCCCTACCAATGGGCATAAAGCTCTGACAGGCAAGCATCGCACAAAAGGAGGAGAAAGACATGCTTACAGAAAATGCAATCGTCTTGTGAAATTCTCTAAGAGCAGAAATAAAGAAACTGTTTACCTGCAAGCAGCCACAGCTGAAAGAAAAGGAGGAACTGAACACACTCCAGTTTGATGAACTGCTCATTAAACTGCGAAGCAACGGAGAAACCCACAGCAAGCGCTGCCCAAGCACTGAAAGCGGTGGATGGAGACAAATAGTAACTTAAAAGTAAAGAGCCACAATCTCATCTTACACTCACTCAGTTATTGCAGCTTTAAGAGAGAGGTTTGGAAAGTTTTCCACTCCATACTACTCTTGCACACCCCTTCTAAAATTAGAAAGGGGCAGCTGGCTATTGCAGCCAAAAGATCAGCTAGACCCCCCCCTCCAGACACCCTCCCCCCTTTCTTTGACTGACACGGCTCCCAAGAGCCAGGGAGGAATTTGGGGAAGGGTGTTTCCACCTGTTGGACATGGAATGAGGTTGTCCAGGCATTCAATTATAAATCCAACTGTCAGGAGCTGACAATAAAACAGGACACAGGACAGCTGTGAGGACTGGAGGACACCCCCCACCCTCTCCTACATACTCCTACAATCTTGCAGTTCGTCTTATAGCAGAAACAATGCCTAAAAAATTGCTCTCTGCATGATTTGGGCTTATAAAATAAAGGGATCACCTCAGATTTGTTCTTATGGTTTTCCAGCTTAGCTACAGGGTCTTAGCACAGAATCTGGCAAGCTGTTAACGTGTCCAAAACCAGATTTTTTTGTAAATGCAGTGTGCTGGTGATCGCACTGCAAATGGTGTGTGTAGCTGCATTCTGTACAGCAAATACCTCTATGGCTCACCTTGCCTTTTGCACTCAGTTTGAGCTGAAGAGATGATGAGTTCAAAACATTTTTCAAAGAAAGGATATGAAAACCATGACTTTTTTTTTTTTTAATTTGAGGAAAATGAGCAAATGCTTTTGTTGGTGTGAAAAAATGGAGGACAATATTTTAACAAACCTGCTTAACATGCTCTGAAGTCCACTGCTCAGCACAATGTGAGTCAGAGCAGGGTATGAGAGCCGGACGGTAACAACAGACAGGGCTGCGCACTGTCCTCAGTCCCTTTTACAACATCCACTGCTGAAGGCAACATGGGTATTGCCAACCTCCAGGTGCATGAAAGCAACAGCAGGAGTAGCAGAAAAAGGGGCCACACTCCACCTTTCACACGGGCTGGCTACCTGCAAGAGGGCTCTGCTCACAACTTGAGCAGTCTGATTGTGTTTTCCAGCCCAATTTGCAGAAAGCTGGAAATTTTGTCGGCAAATTGGTGCACAGCTGATTCTGCTCCTCAAAGATCATGTTCTGCCCAGAGTTTGTATGCTGTAAGCTCACAGAACAAGAAACGTCCCCTTCTCAGTCCCAAGGCCAGACCCAGTGTCCTTGCTCTATATGAGCACATTTTTGCTGTCACAGACTATTTAATTTGCTGAGCTGCTGATAGTTAGGGACAGTTCAACTTCAGAAGTGAGATTTCTCCAGAAGCCAGAGAGTATTTTACAGTTTGGAAAACATCAAATGGATATGTTTGCTGCAGGCAATGAAGTAATTATACAAGGAGGATAGGGATCAGCTGCCTGTGAGCAAGGTAGACAGACATTACTCTTCACCTCTGGCTGAGGAGGAGTTACTTAATGAGATCTGCATTAAGTACCTGTGGATATTTAATGAGAGCCTTTTAAGGACAAAGCCACAAACAGCTACAAAAAGGACCTACTTCTTCAACAGTAGGAACAGTCTTCTAATCCCAAGCCTTCTCACACACCTCCTCCAAAAGGGTATACTTGGTACAGCATCTTGCTTTTAATTTATTTTTCCAGACTAAGCAGCACACCATATATTTGGAAACACACCTCAACTCTACCTACAGTTAACAACGAAAAAGTGATTCTCCTTTGTCTGGTACAACGTTAAGTAGAACATTAAATCTTTAGTTTCCAGGCACCTTCCTTGTTTGCTTGAAACAGAGGAAACACAGCTCTTTAATACACAATAATTCTGGGGAAGTGGGGGATGAGAGTGCAGTTTCAGAAACAGAAAACCTGGATTACATATGTTTCATTAGAGCATAGAATCTCTGGTTTACACGTCATAACTTAAGTCTTTTTTGTGGTTGCCGATTCTTCTAAGTATATATATATTTTTTTCCTAAGCTGGCTTTCAGTAACAGTGTCCCTCCAGTCAGTTCACAGTGCACTAGTTTGCAACAGCAGAAGTACAGAACATGCAGCTAGGAGTGGAACAAGAATGAAGTCATCCCTTTTGTCAGCTGCTGACTCTTACATCAGACTAATGAAACAAGCGAACCGTATCTTATCATTAATTCCTCAGTTCTGATTTCAGCTGGAACAGTACAAGAACACCAAGTAAAAGACAATACAGAGCTATCACCATTTCCTGAATTGTGCTACGTTTGAGAAAAGCCCTGATACTATCCAATACATGCATCTGCATCCCAGTATCTACAACCCCACTCAAGTTTCTTAAAGGTTCTAGATTTTGCAAAAGGTTGTATTTTAGGCATCTGTATTTGGTCAAAGGGAAAAGGAACAATCTTAAATATGTAAAAAAATCTGACCACTTAAAATTTAATGGGCAAATCTTAAAACAACTTATAAAACAAACAAGTAAATTTATTTTTGATGATTACTAAAATACTTTACATTATATACAAACAGATATGCTATCAAGACAGACTCGGAAATAGGTCACAGTTGTTTTCTTAAAAAAATATTTGTCCAGTGAAATGTCTAAAACATAAATGCCATCTTTTTCTTCCTGAGCTATTCTTAAACATCCAAACCAGCAGCACTTCCATGTCTTTTTTCTGTTTGTATTTCTTCCCATTAAAATAAAAAGCACTGTCCATTGCTGGCTCTCAGTGGTAAGAGCAAATCCACCTCTAGATTAAGCAACCATAGCTCTGTGTGTCTCAAACTGTGTTCCTTTAATATGCTTAAAGTGATTTTGGTCCATTCCACATAACACCCCAAACCTTTGTTTGCACAAAGAAGCCAGAAGTTTCAGCACCTCAAGAGGTTTTCCTGGTTAAGAAGGACTTTTTGCAACAGGACAGCTCAAGGGGCTTCTGAATAAAGGATGGGTCCAAGAACCACTAATCTCTCAGCTGTTACAAGAAGATGTCCTATTAATTTGAGAGCAGTCTTCACACATTCCTTCATAGTCAATAACACCAAATGCACATGGACCAATAGTTCAAGAGCATACACCAAAAAAAAAAACCCCAAAGACATGGAAGTGCTGCAATCCATTATTTTTTTTTTTATGCAAAATAGTTACAATAGAAACAAGTACATGTTTTTAGTCTGCTGTTCTTTAATCTGATTCTTGGCATGAGGCACTCTTCAAAAATTTTATTTTAAAAACATGCATTGGTAATCTATTCTTCACTAGAAGCTTATACAGCAAGCAGCAGGTTAAATGCAAACACACAAAGAAAGGTTTTTTTCTAGGATACGAAGTATCACAAATAAATAAATTTTCTTGATGCAAAAATAATTATCTTATTAAAATCAGAAATAACCGATGTCTTCCTTAACTTTTGTTTGGAAAGGAGATCTAACAGGTCTTTAGTACACACACAGAGCTGACATTTTATCAGTTTCCCACCAAATTTTAAGACTTGCAGAACTTTGAGAAAGAGCAGAGAATTCGTGGAAGCAGCAAGGTGAAGAGGTGCCGAGGGATTATTTAAACTGGCATCAGTACTACCAAATCAACCATACCTCAGCTTTCCAGAACCGTTTGGGGCAGGGTCATTTAAGAGAGAAATGCTTTCTGAAGGTTCTCTACCAGTCAACTCTTTCAAGCAATTTTGCCATTTCTGGAAGTTGCCAGAGACATCTGACATCTATGTTGTGATCAGACAGATCAAGAAAAGGCTTGTGCTTAGACTCACATCACTTTATGATCATTTTCAGTTTATGATTTTTCTTATGTTAGAAGAAAAGTAAGCAATTCTGGCAGATGACGGTGATGTTTTGAGAAGAAAAGTAAGCAATTCTGGCAGATGACAGTGATGCATCCTATTACCTTTTCAAACATGATACCAACTTTATGCACCACCAGTAAAGGTGCCTCATAGCAAAGCCAATGGGGAACCAAGACAGGTTCAGAAGCAGATTGGTGGTTCTGCACCAGTGAACACTTACTTCCAGCTCCAAGACAGCAAGCTTGAATAAGTCACTGAACAAAACTTACCAACAACCAGCAAGTTCCTTGCTTACATTGTGCAGTTGATTTAGAGAAGTCCCAGTTACTTTACTAGAAACCACCCTGCCAGTTGGTGGAATTTCTTTGCACAGAAAGGACTGTATGCTTCCTGAGCTCAGCAGCTAGTGAGCTCTTCCCTGTTCAGCCATTGTTAAATGCATTTTCTGTCCTCCTCCTTTCCTGAGTCCTCTATGGAAACTTTTATGCGCATCCCTCCACAGGGAGGTCCTTTTCAGGCCACACGGGCAACACAAGATGAGATATGCGGCTCCACAGTCCGCTCAGCTTATCTGTGTCCATGCTGTTGTAAGAACTGGGAACATGTGAACTGGTAAATCTTGCCCAGAGGAAATCCCGGACTTTCTCCTCAACTTCCTGCAAGGTAAGACTCTTTCTCAGCGAATGGTCGTCCAGGAGAACTGTCAGCAGGAGAGCCACATCCTTAAACGCGGCATTTTCATGGTCACAGTACTTGTAAAAGATTAAGGTGGAGCCCGCAGGCAGTAACTCAAATCGATGCACCACTGCTACCTTCTTGCCATCTCTGAACCCAGAGCTGAGTTCGTTATCTACCTCCAGCTTGACAGTGTCACTGTCCAACGTGGCTTTGTCTGCCCCATTGATTTTGATGGTAGTAGCATTCTGGGAGAAGGCAAAAGCATCAGCAATCTCATAACTCAGGCATCTCAGCGCTTTCTCGGCTTCTCGGCCGGCTGTGAACAGTAAGATGGCCGGCTCCACGTGCAGATGGGAAGCATTAAGATGTTTCTCAAGCAACACGTGGGTTCTTTTCCACAGATTGGGGTCCTGACTTTGGTAAGTATTTTTTAGTTTCTTCATCCGGGCCCGAAACTCTTCCAGAATTTGTGTATCTCTACTTGATAAAGTTCCACTCAGAAGACTGGGGATTCCACTCCACAGAAGGTAAACCAATGGGACACTAATTAACAGAACCAGGAATAAAGTCCAGATATTGCAAAATCCTCTCTGTAATTCACCATCCTCTATAGAAGGGGGGAGCAAACAAGAAGAAAACAATGTTTTAAAAGGAATCAGAAGTCAACAAAGACTTATACAAGGAAAATAACAGGAAACAGTGGAATTCAATGAACTCATCCCACTCTTAAGCTACTGGTACAGTAGAGGAAGAGCATAAAAACCATGCTTAAAAAAAAAACCACAACAAACTTTGAACTTCTTTAGCAATTTAGTGAAGTAACTTTTTTTTTTTTAAAAGGACATTTTTACACATTTCCACATTGACTAACAAACTTTATACTCTTCTGAAAAAGGAGCTCTATTTAATGAAATGTGAACTAAGAGCTTAGAACAGTTCTAAAAAAAAGTCAAGCTTTTTCCTACACTTAGGCTGTGCAGAAAAAGCCCTATACAAAAACTGGCATCACCAGAATGGTTTCTGTGTTGTTATTTTTCCTCCTTATCCCCATAAGGATAAAAATGGTTTCTGCAGCAGTATTCACATCTCAAATACTACCAAAAATATTTGTGGTCTTTGGATCAGTCAGCTTCCCAAAGCACACACACAGCAAACAGTGCACAGGAATCTCATAGAATATCAGATATTTTGATTTGGTTTTGTATTTGAACAGTTAAATTAGCATTTATTTGACCTACTACAAGCAGAAGGCTCGATTCCATTCCCAGTAAAATTAGTGACAAAATGTGTCAACCTCCCTGGAAACATGAAGAAACTGTATACCTTATGCTACTTTTTTATATCCTAACTTTTATCAGGACAGAAATACAACAACTGTTAAATAAGAACACCACTAGGCCTGCCTCAGTTTTAATGTTGCGGCAAATCCTGTAAACACTACAGATGGAAGACCTTAAATTCAGGTGGAAATGTTACCTATTATACAAGACACTTCCATCCTTAGCACTGAAAACATATGGTCTAGCAAGCAAGTCATTCATTCTGGCAAGGACCCTCAGTTTAACACCAGCTACCAGGAAATCTAATAGTTGGACAGGCATGAAAATGGTTAAACATAGCACATGCATGAAGTAGAAGTGAAAGCAGAAGTCTTACTTTTGCCCAAAGGCTGTGGCTGCTTCCTTTTAGTGAGCTGATCTTGAAACTTACTTCTGCCTGTTAAGAAATTAAGAAAGGAACATGAGAAAAATACAAAGACAACAATTTTAACCAGTCTTCCAGCGGGGAATTTTGCAGGGAGTTGAAATCACCGAACTGCGTTACTTCCAACAAAAAGCTGTTCTTAGTTATGCTTTTACATACAAAATTCTACGAAGGTAACAGGGAGGTTAACAAAGCTCCTTTGTATAACATCTTGTTGAAGCGACCGCAGTCCTGCTAAGTAGGAGCAAAGGCGAGGCTGTGACCTCATCCCGGGTAGGGCTGCATGAAGTATGGGACTTTCTGTTCTTTTCTGCATCATTGGCCCTCCTGCACTCAAGTAAGGCTAGTCTTGAACAAGGAAAAGGACACGTTCACTGCTATTACTATCCTGAGAGGTCCCACTCAACTGGCAGTCCAACTCTCCATCTACAGTGTTTGCCAAATGTCAGCTCTCAAGCCATCCTGACAATCTTGCATAAAAAGCATAAGTCTACAACCTATCATAAATCAAAGATTTTTAATTCTTGAAAACTTTCACAAATAAAACCAGAGGCATTTCAAATACAGGATGACAAAAAGGCAGAGATTTAACAACCTGTTATTTCCTGCACAAGGACCCCAAGTCTCAATTAAGATGCCCGATTTTGCTCAAGAATTTGAGGGACAGAAAAACGAAAGCTCAATTGACAGACATATTAGAAAAACAACACAATGCAAAATCTAAGTAGCAAAGCAATGCAATATATTAAAGGTATAGTCTCATATCCCCTCTCTGTCCAGCTTGGGTCAGAGGCCTTGGGATGAATTGTGCTTTTACAGCAAAATGCAAGCTTTCGACTTTAAAATATACTTTCAGTCTATTTATTTAAACAGGCTCAGACAGAAAAGTACAAGAGACATTATCCATAAAAGAGTGTTATGAACAACTGTACTAAGAGATCAGTATGAATATATACAGTGCAATTACTGGTCAGCATGTTTTCTGCATTTAGTTAATTAAGAAGACATGAGAATTTATGGCTCCTTGTGAACTACAGCAACTGGTTCAAAGCCGAAGGCTCTTTAATAATATATAAGCAAATCAGGATACTATCAATGGCACTATTGAGAATAAATTGAACAAACACTGCCTGCAGTAGTTATTTCAAGAACACTAAAATAAATCCTACAACCTTGTTTCTGTATGAATGTAATCGCAGAAGGTGCTAAAAGCAGCTCTGGTTTAAGCCAGAGCTTAACTGGCTTAATGAGCTACACTATTCTGTAATTTCAACCTCCTGCCCCGATAGGGCACAGACATGAAGACTGTAATTGGCTAATCTTATGTAAGTTGTCTAATAGTTAACAGATCAAAATCACCTCAATTCTGTAACATTTCACAATGTAGCTCTGTTCGCAAAGACTAGATTTCTTATTTAGGGGACAGCTGAGAATCATACCCTAAAGGAAAAAATATTTCAATTAACAGCCTAAAAACAGATCCTATCCTACCTAAAAGTCTTGCCTTATTTACAACACAGTCAGCACGAAGGCCAAGCAAATTATTTGTCTTGCCTAACTGAAACTTAGAGCTTTCAAGAGTTTCAAGTGATTTTCCAAAGGTCTCCACTCAACACACAACTGGTCACTCCTGCAGCACCTATTACCTCTGGCACAGGAAAGAAAAAGTACCAGAGTAGCAAGAACTCTCTGCATCAATTCATGTTTCAAAGGCATTTCAAAGATGTGCAGCTACCACAAGACAAGCTTCTCTTCTGGAAGCCACTGCGGTTTTCAAAAAAAACCCCAAATAACCCCCTCGGGTTCTCCAAATTCAATTCCGATCTACAAGACCTTGTTTATCTATAGCTGTTCAGGATAAAACAAGCGCTGAGGCATTAAGAACATAAGGCCTAAGGTTCTAAGAATTCAGAACTTTTTTTCCCCTCTTATTTCAAGTATTCTTCCAAGAGGAAAAAAAACCCCAAACCAGCAAATCCACAAAAACAACCAAAAGATAAAAATCTGAAACACAAGGAATTGGTCATTGGACAGACAGACTGGAGTTTGCCAGCAAAGAAAAATGCTGCTCCCCTCCAGGAGTATGGAACAACTAATTTTATTGTAGCAGGCCACCATTACTTAGGGAAAGGGTAGAAGGGAAGGCGATGTGTACAAACTAACATTCACTGCTACCTTTTGTTCCCTTCCTCAGCTCACCCCCACAATGCCACCAGTACATGCTCTGCACTTACAAATTGTCCCATGAGTCAACTCCATTGCCTAATTGAGCCAAAAAAAGAAAAAAAAAAAAGTGGGTCATTTTCTGTGGTCAGCGAGTTGAATAACCTCATAGAAGGGCTCTGGAATGTGCTCCAGCTTCCATTTGGATCTGCCTCCTGGGCCTCTTTCCACCTTCCCAGACAGACAGACTGTCCCAGGGCACAAGAAAACCCACAAGCAGAGGAAAGGAAAAGAATTCTGTACTTTTCACTTAATTACAGGGAAAACCTAGGTATCCACTTTTTTACTTACTCTGTGATGTCGTTGAATAGTGCTCTTGATTTTTCTCAAGGAAGTCAGTCTTTCTTTCTGAAACCAAAGCACAAGTGAAAGAACTTGGTTACCACATCAGAGGTCAGAAGACGACAGACAAGCCATACATGCTTTTAGCACTTTCTATGAAATCTTCAAAGATTATTAGGGAAGGAGTATATGCTGTACTGCCAAACCGAGCCTGTGCCTTATGACAGCCTCTCAGACCCCTCCGTAGATGGAGAAAGCAATTGTTATCTATTAGAAAGGGCTTAATTTCATCATTCATCTTGTTTTTTCCAATATGACACAAAATTATCCTTTCTGTTTTGTCTGTCTGCACTCTTGTGCCCTCAGTGCTCCTCCATAAAGCAATGTGTGATTAGGGCTGTTACTGACAGAACGAAGGCAAGCCACTGCCTCACCCTCTGACCAGTTACCAGCTCTCCTAAAAACCTCCCTTACATAGTGTATCTATTTGGATGTATTCAAACCACCTGTAGTAACATAACTACCTCCTGCTGGGCTAAAAAGTATCCCATATTTTCTTCCTCATTGTATTTCCCTATTGTTTGTGTAACACATCAAGAAAAATCTCTTGAGCAACAAACAGAAAAAGTGCTCTCTCACTGTGAAATCACTTGGTATCGTCAGCTTCCCCCTGCTGATGTCAAAAATAACTCATCTTTTTAGAAAAAGAACAGTTTTGGTTTGCTTTGCCTGAGGCAATTAAAGATCCGCTCTCATAACAGTTTTTGAAGCAGGTATGACATTAATGTTTTGTTTCTTTTAAAAACAAGAGATGGCTATGTATTTATCAAATTTTAAAACTACACTTTCTTGAACTTTAAGATTTTACATCCAAGCAGATGACTGTCATACTACAACTGGTTTTAGTTTCACTCGTGGGCAGGAATACACCCTGAAATTTTTTAATTTTTTTTTTTTTTAAAAGATCAAAATCACCTCAATTCTGTAACATTTCACAATGTAGCTCTGTTTGCGAAGACTAGATTTCTTACTTAGGGGACAGCTGAGAATCATACCCTAAAGGAAAAAATATGTCAATTAACAGTCTAAAAACAGATCCTATCCTACCTAAAAGTCTTGCCTTATTTACAACACAGTCAGCACGAAGGCCAAGCAAATTATTTGTCTTGCCTAACTGAAACTTAGAGCTTTCAAGAGTTTCAAGTGATTTTCCAAAGGTCTCCACTCAACACACAACTGGTCACTCCTGCAGCACCTATTACCTCTGACAAAGGAAAGAAAAAGTACCAGAGTAGCAAGAACTCTCTGCATCAATTCATGTTTCAAAGGCATTTCAAAGATGTGCAGCTACCACAAGACAAGCTTCTCTTCTGGAAGCCACTGCGGTTTTCAAAAAAAACCCCAAATAACCCCCTCGGGTTCTCCAAATTCAATTCCGATCTACAAGACCTTGTTTATCTATAGCTGTTCAGGATAAAACAAGCGCTGAGGCATTAAGAACATAAGGCCTAAGGTTCTAAGAATTCAGAACTTTTTTTCCCCTCTTATTTCAAGTATTCTTCCAAGAGGAAAAAAAACCCCAAACCAGCAAATCCACAAAAACAACCAAAAGATAAAAATCTGAAACACAAGGAATTGGTCATTGGACAGACAGACTGGAGTTTGCCAGCAAAGAAAAATGCTGCTCCCCTCCAGGAGTATGGAACAACTAATTTTATTGTAGCAGGCCACCATTACTTAGGGAAAGGGTAGAAGGGAAGGCGATGTGTACAAACTAACATTCACTGCTACCTTTTGTTCCCTTCCTCAGCTCACCCCCACAATGCCACCAGTACATGCTCTGCACTTACAAATTGTCCCATGAGTCAACTCCATTGCCTAATTGAGCCAAAAAAAGAAAAAAAAAAAAGTGGGTCATTTTCTGTGGTCAGCGAGTTGAATAACCTCATAGAAGGGCTCTGGAATGTGCTCCAGCTTCCATTTGGATCTGCCTCCTGGGCCTCTTTCCACCTTCCCAGACAGACAGACTGTCCCAGGGCACAAGAAAACCCACAAGCAGAGGAAAGGAAAAGAATTCTGTACTTTTCACTTAATTACAGGGAAAACCTAGGTATCCACTTTTTTACTTACTCTGTGATGTCGTTGAATAGTGCTCTTGATTTTTCTCAAGGAAGTCAGTCTTTCTTTCTGAAACCAAAGCACAAGTGAAAGAACTTGGTTACCACATCAGAGGTCAGAAGACGACAGACAAGCCATACATGCTTTTAGCACTTTCTATGAAATCTTCAAAGATTATTAGGGAAGGAGTATATGCTGTACTGCCAAACCGAGCCTGTGCCTTATGACAGCCTCTCAGACCCCTCCGTAGATGGAGAAAGCAACTGTTATCTATTAGAAAGGGCTTAATTTCATCGTTCATCTTGGTTTTTCCAATATGACACAAAATTATCCTTTCTGTTTTGTCTGTCTGCACTCTTGTGCTCTCAGTGCTCCTCCATAAAGCAATGTGTGATTAGGGCTGTTACTGACAGAACGAAGGCAAGCCACTGCCTCACCCTCTGACCAGTTACCAGCTCTCCTAAAAACCTCCCTTACATAGTGTATCTATTTGGATGTATTCAAACCACCTGTAGTAACATAACTACCTCCTGCTGGGCTAAAAAGTATCCCATATTTTCTTCCTCATTGTATTTCCCTATTGTTTGTGTAACACATCAAGAAAAATCTCTTGAGCAACAAACAGAAAAAGTGCTCTCTCACTGTGAAATCACTTGGTATCGTCAGCTTCCCCCTGCTGATGTCAAAAATAACTCATCTTTTTAGAAAAAGAACAGTTTTGGTTTGCTTTGCCTGAGGCAATTAAAGATCCGCTCTCATAACAGTTTTTGAAGCAGGTATGACATTAGTCTTTTTTTTTGCTTGTTTCTTTTAAAAACAAGAGATGGCTATGTATTTATCAAATTTTAAAACTGCGCTTTCTTGAACTTTTACACCCAAGCAGATGACCCTCATACTACAACTGGTTTTAGTTTCACTCGTGGGCAGGAATACACCCTGAATTTTTTTAATTATTTTTTTTAAAACTTCTTCATCCATTGAGATTTCAACTCAACAACTTCCTCTTTTGGAAAAGAACTGAAAGAATGTCACATTTAAGCAATCATTTGTTACATCACAGAAAAGGTACTGGTAAAACTAGTGTTGTTACCTTTTAACGGTGTATAAAAGTTTGGTCGATGCCCTGCTGGTTTCTCAGGTTCGTTACTGTCATAAGCCTTTGCTTTTTCTTTTACTGGATTCTCTTGAAGAAAGTTATATGAAGAATTGCCTGTCAGGAGACCAAAAAGGAAAAAAAAAAGAGGATTGGTATAGGTGTAGTATCATTTGTGTTCGTAACATCACAAAACTGAAGAACCAAGACATAGTTTCAGATGTACATGATCTAAATCAGAGATTTACCCAAGCAATCACAGCTTTCTTAAAATGTAACCAAAAGCAACTAAGACTTGAAGAGCTTATGGTAAATCTGAGTTCATTATAAATATAGCTGTGTACACTACCACACGCCCTTTTTTTTATTTTTAGGAGTCCTTGGCTTAAAAACACTTGAAAAAAGTCCCCCAAAACAGGCATCAGGACACCAAAAGCTAAAAGCCAAGAAATGCCTTACACTGAAGGGATTCAGTGTGAACTAGTGAATACACAATCATGGGAGTAAAAATTCTTCCCCCAGCTTTGGGCACACAACTTACAAACAGTAATTGTGTTGTCTTCCATAGCATTAGGCAGAAGGGAAGAGAGAAGCAAATATAGAATATAAATCCCCCTTTTTCTATAGCTCAAGCCATCCTTTAGTTGGGTCTCTGTCTCATTAACCATAATGACAATCTAGGGCACCTGTGCTCCTAACTCACTGCCCTCACATAGCTGGGAGGAATCTAAACCAACACCTTGAGATTGTTTGCCTCATTACACAGCCATTCAGGCACTGAAACCCAACTTAGTTAATGTTACTAATAGAAAGAATGAAGCCCTGTTAAGGTGACGGGAGTCACAGAGCAAAGGTCAGGGCTGGGAAGCCGGTCAGAAGCAGAACACCAGGAGAAGGGATCTGAAAGGATAAAGTGCAAGCACATGGTTGCCCAGATTGAAAGTGGGGGGGGAATGAAAGCTGTGGAACAGAGACTGTGACACCGTGACCAAGCTGAAGGGCATAAGCAGAGGAAACAGCAAAGGGAAGAATACAATTGATAAAACTTTTCAACATTGAGACTGGGCCCTTTTAGTCTTTTAACAGTACTGGGCCCTCCTGGGGTTTAATGTTTCTACGGCTCATTTACTGTATGTGTGAGGGCAACACACAGCTTGCCATCTAGTGTTTATTTATTTTACTTCAAGAAATCATAACCTTTTCACTTCAAGAAATCATAACCTTTTTCTAATATGTTATGGCAACTTTAGCATGCCAGTGCATATGAAGCATACAAAAGAGAAAAAAAACCCCACCACGCACAAACATGGGAGAAAACTAAGTTTTAAACTAAGATATTAAGTCACAGGTACAACAGTAAAGTATTTGCACATAGTGAGTGAAATACTATATTTTTCAAATCCACCTTAAAAAGCTCTTAAGTGACTGATTTCCCACCAAGCTAAAAATGAAAATACTCACCAAGTTACTGGATTTCCAGGAACACCAAACAACTTACCCATAATATTCCACTATGTACCAAGGTTTTGCAAGGAATAGCACTAATAGCAGTAGCTCGTAATCACAAGACCAGAAAGATCTATGAATCTAAACAGGGCTGCTCATGCAGTTCACTTTTTAATTCCCCTCCCCTTCTTTGCATCAATCACTACTCTATGTCTCTCAAAACGTTCCTAGAAGTTGTTGTTAAAGAGGAAAGATTTAAAATATACAACTTCATTTCTCACATGAAGAGAGCTCATGAATCAGCACCTTCTGTACAAGTGGGTATCACCAACAGGAAGAGTATTAGTGCAAGCAGACAGCACACATGGCACTCCCTACAGAGAAAACCAAACTTCCCTTTTATGAAGTTAACCTTTCTTAGAAATATATATAAAAATATAAATTCCAGTCCAGACATGCCTGTTCTTTCCTTACAAGGCCTTAAGCCTCCTGCCTCCCAGGCAGCTAGTGAGGATTTTCCAATCCACCTCAAATCTACTGGCCAGCCACCTTCTGCACAGCCACCTGCAGAGACAGAGAGATCTTCTTACTGTGCCCATTTCATACAGCAGCTTAATCAAAGGGACTAGAAATCTACGAGTTCATAAGTTACATGTTTATAAACCAGAAGATAAGGCCTCTATTTTAACATAGTGGAACTTGTACTGTTAAGTCTAGTACATATCTATCCCTGTGGGTTCAATCTCTTTCAACATAGAGATAAGCCTGTGACACACTTGCTGCAATGTTCCACAGCAACGACACACAGCACAAACTCGGGTGCCAAAAACACCTAGTGGCTGCCTTTAACTCGTACACTCCACTATTTTAAAACAACTTCAACAGAGATTGCTAGCATATATCTTTAGCTCATTGATCTAGAAGATGCCCAATTCAAGGCAGGGTCTGTAAGCTTTTAAAGCTTTTTAGTTCGAGAAGCAAGTTTCCTAATCTATACTTAAAATGTCGAAGCAGAAGCCAGAAAGCAGTTTCTCCAGTTGTGGTTTTGCTTTCATTTTGCTCTCAGGGCAGCATTACAATTATGTCCTTATAAAAATCCATCTTGCTTGTCCTGCTGCCTCACAGACTCAGCAGAAAAAAACCCCAATACTGTATAGCTACGTGTGAGAAACTACTCCTTGGCTTCTATATAACTTCTATATAACTTCTATATCTTGGTTTCTTAACACTGTAACATAAGCTTCTTATGACTATAATCAAATACCACTGTTAAGAGCTCAGGGGGGTGGAGGCAGGCTATCTCTGCCCTCAAACTCAGTTTGAGAGTCTACATAAAAACAAACCAAACCAAACCCAAAACACTGAGCTGTCAGCCCAGCCACATGTAAAATACTAAGCACGTTGGCACCCTGTCAGCCATCATTTGGGAGTACCAGTTTCCCACAGATAAGCCTTCGTACTTTCCCAAATAAATACTCATAACCTCTCTCTCTTCCTCCCTCAAGATAAGATTTTTTTTTTTTTCCACACCTCCCAGAAATTCTGCTTCTGAAGCATTATATCGGCAGCCCTTTTTAAGGGTAATGCCACATAATTAGGGCCATGCACTGGAGCTGCACCATGATCTTGGTGACATCCCTGTTGCAAGAATCACAGAATCTTCTAGGTTGGAAGGGACCTTAAAGATCATCTTGTCCAACCATCAACCTAACTGACAAAAATAGACACCCACACAACAAACAAGGAGCATCATCACTAAACCATACCTCCCAGCACTACATCAACCCGTCTTTTGAACACCTCCAGGGATGGTGCCTCAACCACCTCCCTGGGCAGCCCATTCCAATGGCTGATGACCCTTTCAGTGAAAAAATTTTTCCTAATATCCAGCCTGAACCTCCCCTGGCGCAACTTGAGGCCATTTCCTCTTGTCCTGTCGCCTGTGACTTGAGAAAAGAGACCGACCCCCATCTCTCTACACCCTCCTTTCAGGCAGTTGTAGAGAGCAATAAGGTCTCCCCTCAGCCTTCTCTTCTCCAGGCTGAATAAAAGATGAGAATGGCGAGTAGTCTTCTGCTCACCCAACTCATCCACCTGAGATTCGCCACTGTATGGAGCCCAGCCTTGCAGTCTGTTTCTGGAGCTCAAGGTGCTTTATTTAAATGCAGCCATTAAAAAACCCAGCAGCGAGAGCGAAATCAGTCCCCATTTTAATGCTGTGACAAAACGCTATTCCAAGTGACGCACCAGGGAAAACTGTCACCTGAGGGCTTCAGTGTGCTCTACGTGCACCGGTCCTTTCGGAAGGTGGAGAAGCGCTCCCTGTCTCCTACCTATGGAATAAAGATGGCAGCGGGATTTCTGTACGCCAGAATCACACTGACACCTGCAAAGGTGCTAAACCTCAATCAACTCCATTTTCACTCAAGTTTTGTGCGTTTCAGCGCACACCACAACCTCTCCGAGTCACAACCTACCTGCCGCTCTACAGGCTCTTATCGGGGGTCGGGTCAAGGAGTCGGGATTCCCAAAGGGACGCTCGTCCCCTGAAACGAGAAATAGGTGAGAAACAGGCCGGGCAGCTGGGCTCCAGCCCACGGGACTCCAGCCCGACAGCCTTCCAGGAGCGCCAAGCACCCCTTTCCAGACCCACTGAGACACCCCACTGCTTCCAGGGGGGCTGTCCAGGAGGACAACCCCCTCACCGGGCTACCCCTGCTCCGCAGGCAGGACGGCCGCAGGGGAGGAGAGGGCCAGCCCTCCCGCCCGCCCGCCCCACTTCGCGCCGCCCCACCGCGCCCTCAACCGTGGGATCGGCCACGGGGGTCGCTACGTATGCGCGCCCGCCCGCACTGCTCACCCTCCAGCGCCCCTTCGGGACCGGGCTCGGCCGCGGCCTCCGCCTCGGTCGCCTCCGCTTCCTCCGCTCTCGCCGCTGCCAACCGGGAGCTCTTCCGCCTGTGCTTC